GTATAGAGTACTATAGACATACTTCCTAGGTGGCTCTATGCAAATAGCATGAGCTTAGAAAACCTGTACTACGTAGGAAGTACCTATGTGCCTCTCACATATTCAATACTCACCTAGTTCGTACATAGTATAGACATAGAGTCACATAGTATAGACATTGTTCCTAGGTAGCTCTCGTTGATCATATCAAACTGAGTTCAACGATCAACTTCACTATGCCGTACATAGTATAGGTCCCGATAGCCATTCGTTTTATTCCGGAAATTCCGCCGTAATCAACCACTTAGGCCTTGCTCCACTACTCTCGAAATGTGCAAAATGAGAGTGAATCTTCCGCTAGAAGATGGAAAGATACACTGCCATGATTTTTGTCTTTTGTGCACGTCAAGAGTAGTGGAGTGAGGCCATTTGTGTCCCAACAGGCAGGAGGTCAATAACCCTTAACAAAAAGGTACCTTAGAGCATACTCACACTAGCACTTTCCAGAATGCATCAGACCGCAATTTCGCCCACACCTGTATGCATCTGGCCGCAATTCCGTCCAGAAATAAGTCACAAAGTCCTAGTGTGAGTATACCCTTAGTATGGATGATCTTCCCCATCTTCACCCCGAATAGAACCCCTGGAGGTTATTATCACCGTATCTAGACCGGAAGTTGGCCAAAAACAGCTGTAATCACAGGGGGGCGTTCTATTTGGATACAGAAGGCGTTATTGGGAAGGAGAGACCTCTCAGACCAGAGCTGACGACTTTCATCACTTGCTATATATATATATATATATATATATATATATATATATATATATGCCCACACTAAGGTCCTTAGTACTCACACATCTCTCGCCTCCCTCGTCTCTCTCCTACCCAGGGCCTCTCCTCTCCCCCCCTTCCCCCCCCCCTCCTCTCCCTTCCCTCTCACCCCCAACTCTCCACCCCCCAAACCACAAACTAGTTTAAACGACTAGTCGATAGGTAACATATGGGTCTTGGTTGTGGGAGTAGCTAGCAGACCTGATCACCTTCACCACTTGGCCCTTCTTCAGCCCGAAGTACTTAGCCACGGGATCGTCGTGGTTGATTCTAGGCAGCTGCGTGGCTTTGACGGCATACTTGCACAGGAGCGCCCTCTGTTCTTGCTGGGACAAGATGATGTGCTGTGGGACCAGCCCATGGTCTCGGACATTAATCAGCAGCTCCTCCTCTAGAAACACCTCGATGTGGTGCTGGGTTCGAGCCTCCTCGATGGCTTTCTTGGCCGGCGGAGTGATCTTCTTCCGACCGACCAGGACTGCTCTATCCACCCCCATCTGATGCATTCGGCCCACATAATCCCTCACCGTCCCTGAACGAATCATTTCATCCTCAGGAAAAAACACAGAGATCCGCTGAGCTGTGTCTTCCAGCTTGTGCACCGTGATGGTCAGGCTCTCCCTGTTGGGATCCCGACCAAATGCCGCCTCGAACTCTGATCGGGACATTCGCACCTCACCATCAGAAACCAGATACCCTCTGTCGCGCAGCATCTCCATCACCGTCTTGCGTATCATGAACATTCTCAGAAAGTGTTGCTCCTCGGCAGGGAGGAGGTCCATCTCTTCAAGATGTGATCACCTTCGGCGCAGAGAAACTACCGAGAAACTTGCTGGATATTTCCTTCCCTTGTTCGTTTCTTTTCTCTTTCCCAGCAACGGCAGGTGTACTCGCTAACCAAAAGAAAACAGTTTCTTTTTTTTCCCTAGAGAAATGTGGAGGCGCTCACAGACCAACGACTGCTCTCCCCCCCCCTGCCCCCCCCCTCTCCTTTCCCCCCGGGGAACCCTGCCCAGCCAGCGGCCAGCAAGCTCAAGCGTAACGAACACCAGCAACACTCATCAACAACAACAACAAACAACAACTCAGCAACTCGACAACTCAACAACAGTAACTGCATAGCCAGTCACCAACAAAGCAGCATCCCCAGGAGGAGTCAAACGGAGCCTGCTCCGGATAGCAACAGCAACACCACGAAGGCGGGACCCCCAGAACAGGGGCTGGGGTTACTCAATGAAGCTGCCCTGCAGATGCAACAAACGAGCGGGCTGCTTAGGACTGTAGTTTGCTGGGAAACAAACAAGTAGCACATGTCCTGAGTGAGTCCCAATCTTTTATCAAGTCTATGTACTGATTGAGACCCTGGACCCGGTTTGCAGCAGGTGATGCTCCCCACCAATAGTTGGAGCCTTCTTTTTTTTTTTTTTTTTTTTTTTTTGAGAAAACAACCCAAGAGAATGCTAGGGGTGCTGATAAGAGCAGACAACACTACCTTCTTCCCCCGAATACAACGTACGGTCATTATAGCTGTATTTGAGGCATCTTTCAGTCCAGATACAGCTATAATGACCGTACATTGTATTCGGGGGAAGAAGGTAGCATGCTTGGGGAGGCTCCAATAGTTCGAGCCTTCATAGATAAGTCCGCTTGAGGTAGATGCTCTTATCACTACCTCAAGTGGCACCCTCCACCGAAGATTCAAAAAAAAAAAAAAAACAGGAAGAGTACTGGGGCACAATGCCTGGTGTTACAAAGGAAAAGAAAGAAAGGAAAAAAAAAGACTGGTGTTACCGGTTACATCGAACATGATCCAAGTCTGATCAAATTGAATATGAAAAGTTATTCCAAGCCCAAGTATAGAATCTACTCTGAAAGTTCTCCAAGAGTGATCAAATCGGAAAAAAAAAAGTAAGAAAAAAGTGATCAAATCCGCTACGAAATTCATCCAAGTGTGATGAAATCGAATACTACGACAGTGAACCTGTGGTGGGTATTGGTTGGGAGCATCACCCCACCAATAGATGGAGTCTCTATTTTTTTTTTTTTTTTTTTTTTTTTGTGTGTGTGTGTGAAACATCGCGGACGGGCGTGGGGGAGGTGCCGATAAGAGAAGACACCCCGTCCACGCACCCTGTTTGTGAGTGGCTCCATTCCATTGGTGGGGAGCTGCACCTGCTGGAAAACGGGTCCAACGTCCCTTAACATCAAAGACAAGGGGCCTATGTTTACAATGTTATGCTGCTTGATTTAGCAGGTCTCTAACTATGCAAAACAAGACAATGCAGAGACCTCTCTCACGAGCCCCAGATGACCTTGTGGTTGCGGTTGCATATGTATCGTGATCAGAGTCCCCACGTCACTGCCCCATAGCTACATAGTCCTTACACTCCTGAGGTCTGTTTCGCCGTAGCCCAAGCTGTTCTCCAGCGGGGAGCTGCACATGCTGGGATCCTGGGGTCTGTTACACCCTGACCCAAACTATTCCGGCGCCGGGGACCTGCAGGTCAGTCCTCAGTGAACATCAACGATAGGGGCACGGGATGTCGCTGTTATGATAGCGCAGGCTACCTACAGCCAAAAACCTTCCCGGAACCCCGGAAGCCATGCAGTCGCAATGTTGACAATACTGTGATCGTAGTCCCTACTTCTCAACCCTGCTGTTACGTAGCTCTGTTATGATAGTGCAGGTCAGGCCTCAGTGAACATCAACGATAGGGGCACGGGATGTCGCTGTTATGATAGCGCAGGCTACCTAGAGCCAAAAACCTTCCCGGGACCCCGGAAGCCATGCAGTCGCACTGTTGACAATACTGTGATCGCAGTCCCTTCTTCTCAACCCTGCTGTTACGTAGCTCTGTTATGATAGCGCAGGCAGGCTACCTACAGCCAAAAACCTTCCCGGAACCCCGTTGCAGTGTTGACAATATTGTGATCACAGTCCCTTCTTCTCAACCCTGCTGTTACGTAGCTTCCGGTGTCGTATCGTCGTAGACTTCTGTGCTTGCCTTCATTAGACTGTGATCAACCCGTGATGATGGGAATTTTGGGGTGCAGGGGGGTGACCGGGGTACCAGAGAGGGTGGGGGGGGAGGGGGGAAGCGAAGGGACAGAGTGGGGAGATTGGGCCGGGGGGTGGGCCGGGGGGTGGGCCGGTGCATTATCTGCGACAAGCACGAAGTTCGTCGGGAGGTAGGGGACCTCGAAACAGTTGAAGGGCCTCCTTTCCCAAACTGATTCTGTCACTTCTGTGGTCCTCCATGGTTTCCACCGGATGTCTAGGCAGGCAGTCAATTCTGAGAATCTGTTATTCGCATCCTGCCATAACTGGCGGTAAGACAAACCTATTATTTCCCTGGCAGCCGGATCCTTCTCCTCACGGCACGCCCCTTTCATTTATTTCCATGCATCTTGCGTTTGGGCTCTGATCTCTTCTTCTATTGCCTGCTGTGCTTGTTGGAGGCCGAATTGCAATGGGGCCCATTAGACACTCCTTGGGTGCAATTCGAAACTGTATCTTGGCCCCTAGTGCAATGGGACCTGTTAGACACTCCTCGGGTGCGTAAATCCCCCAAGGAAAATTTCGTTCCACCTATCCTCGGGGATGAAAACGACAAAAAGAAGTAAAAACATTTCCTTGGGGAATCCTCGGGCTAGAGCCATTTGGTGCATTCCCCAAGGGACCTCCTGAGGTCCCTCCGAGGTCAAGGATCCGTGATCCGCGATAATCGGAGTGGCGAGGGCACCCGTCCTTGGCGTGAATTTTTTGTCGGCTGGTCCATTGGAGTTCCTACCGGGCAGAGCATGAACATCTTGGATCTTCAATGTTCAGCTTCCAGGAACCTTACGCCAACGGTAACCGTTGGTGGCCGGCCGGCCCCCATGGATGTCGTCGACGAGTGTTCTCCCTCGCAGTGCGTGCCGCCAAGCGGGAAGGGGTCTAACAGTCGGCAAATTTGAATACTTCAGTCGACCCCCCTTGCTCCCATCGCCCACTATATTCCGTGACGAAAAACGTTACAAGGCGTTTGTCCCATGCTGCGGTCTGCTGTTTGCAGCCCTCTTCGTCACTCTTTGCTGGAGGTGTACTGTCGTCATCTAGCTACTGCACTTCCCCACTTGCCTTTCATGGCCGACGTCTTTCGAAGGCTATCGTTGCTGCTCCGGGTCACCCTTTTGGCCGTTTGCTGGAGGTGTACTGTCGTCGGCTAGCTACTGCACTTCCCCACTTGCCTTTCATGGCCGACGTCTTTCGAAGGCTATCGTTGCTGCTCCGGGTCACCCTTTTGGCCGTTTGCTGGAGGTGTACTGTCGTCGGCTAGCTACTGCACTTCCCCACTTGCCTTTCATGGCCGACGTCTTTCGAAGGCTATCGTTGCTGCTCCGGGTCACCCTTTTGGTTGTCCTTGTCGTCTTTTTCCACGCTTGCATCCTCGGCAGGGTGCCTGGACGTACACGTAAGAGGTGGTCTGTGAAGAAGGACGTCAGCATGGACGGGCGGCAGGCGAAGAGCAGATCTTCAGTGGACCACTCCAGAAACCACCGTGCAGGCCATGGCCCGACTCGCAGTGCAAGGGTGTACGACCTGTCTGAGTGCGTGTACCGTATGCCTGTCTCTTATACACATCTAGATGTGTATAAGAGACAGCACACACACACACACACACACACACACACACACACACACACACACGCACACATGCACGACTTCTTTTCCACGCACGTGCACGTGCGCCACTGCACACCGTAGCAGTGGCTAGCGGTGATTGCTCTTATCAACACCTCTAGCACCCGCAAGGGGTGTTTATAAAAAAAAAAAAAAAAGAATTGTGGTGGGTATGCCCTCCTTTTTTCTTTTGGGGGTACCTACGCGGGAGTTACAAAAACGAGTTATAATTGCAGTATGGGCCAGTATACAGTTTGCAATTGCTCTTGGGGCACCCTACCTGGCCAGAGAGCTGGGTTGTATACATTGCCGGAAGTGCAATTCGAAACTGTATCTTGCCCCCTAGTGCAATTATAACTCATTTTTGTGATTCCCGCGTAGTTTCCCCTTTCCTTTTTTTGGGGGGGCAACTTCAGTAGAGTCACAAAAACGAGTTATAACTGCACTATGGGGCAAGATACAGTTTGCAATTGCACTTCGGGCACCCTACCTGGCTAAGAGCTGGGTTGTATACATTGCCCGAACTGCAATTCAAAACTGTATCTTGGCCCATAGAGCAATTATAACTCATTTTTGTGACTCCCGCTTAGTTTCCCATTTTTTTTTTCTTTTTTCGAGGTAACGTTAATGTCACCTTTGAGTACCGAATGGGCAAAGAAAACACACTTCGGCAAAGAAAACCGCGCCGAGTTCGAAAAGGCAACGCAAGTACCAGCGGACGTGGTGTCAGACCGGGTGTCATATGTACAGGAGTCAGCCGTGGTGTCGGATGGGAAAAAAAAAAAAAAAGAAATGGACCGAACTTGCTCATTTCGAGTTGGCGTGCGGTTTCTCTGCCGGCGCGAGGTTTTTTTCGCCTTTAGGGTTTCAAAACATGCTGTGTCCACTGTTATTTCTTTTTCTTTTTTGGCCTACTACTACAAGGCTCTAGGACAATGAAAGTGAGTGAAATCAGGCGGCACACGGGTCAACGGTCGTCGTATAGTGAACACTGGTCGCCGGTCACTAGAAAACGCTCTCCACACATAGCCTACCGCCATTACACCAACGACCTAAGCATAGGACCAGTGTTTTTGCATGGCTGTAGTGACCCGACTTAGCAGAGACTACACTCTATAATTAGACTAAGTACGCTCATCTCACAAAGAAAGGGTCCACAGCGACCCGGCTTAGCAGAGACTACACTCTATAATTAGACTAAGTACGCTCATCTCACAAAGAAAGGGTCCACAGCTCGGGGCCTCACGTTGACATATGTCACTGTTTTGTACTCCACCCAAAGCACGAGCATGAAGGACTAAAGTCAAAACGAAACCATCACTCCATACAACCGAAGAAACGACATTGCCAA